GGATTCATGTGGAATAATGGTGACAATTTTTAAAATATAAAATAAAAAAAAGTGTGAAAATCACTTGCTACACAAAAACAGTAAGGTTTGATTATGATTGTTAGTTTATGAGTTTGTTACTGACTAACTACTGGGGATTTTATTTAGAAAAATATATATAGGAAAGATGCTGCTGTTTTTATTTAGATAATGCTGTATATATGAAATGCTTCTGCCTACACTTTATTTGGTTTATACTTTGTGTTCTTGCCATCAACAATAATTCAAAGATTTTAAATTTTCTGTATTAATTATGTTTTGTTGTCAGTATAGTGTGCATGTTTAACTTCTGAATGGAAAAGTTAATAAGGACCAAAATAAAACTCATTTCATTAAAAAAATGATATTGACAGCCTGACTGAAAATTAAAATAAAGACAGTAATTATTATGACTCCGCCCACTGGGGATGGGAGGCACACTGTTCTCTGGCTGTTAGTGTGGTGTTCGTCCATCATTGGTGGTCTTGTGTGCTCGATATCTCCTGAATGAAATTAGATATTTATTTATAAACAGGCATAGTAACTCCGTTGGGGTAGTACTCAGTTTGTTTAGATTTGGGCATCAAAGGGTCAAAGGTCAAGGTCATTTATGATGATTGGTATTATATAACTAACATTTTTTCCAAAGACAGACATGTCTAGGTCAGGCATACCGATCGATGCTKTGGCCTCGAGTTCCACCTTGTTCTGAATTAGTTTTGTTGTTATTTACAGAATTTTCATCTCATTGATTATAACATGCTGGTCTTCACCATCATCATTCTGGCAAGAAGATTAATTGCAGCCATTGTTAAAGAGGTAAGACTTTGAACAATCTGTGCATTCATTTGTAAATTAGCTCCACATTTTATTTGATCAAGAAGCAGTCAGTTTGTTTCGTGCGTCTTTAAAGCTTTTATTTTGGATAAAGTTGTAACGGTACAWTAATATGTGTTTATTTTGTCGTTCTGTCTCCTTCAGGCATCCCAGAGTGGGAAACTCTCTTTCCCTCACTCGATATTTTTGGTGACGGCTCGGTTTGCGGTCCTAACACTCACAGGGTGGAGCCTGTGCCGTTCCCTCATTTACCTCTTCAGAACCTATTCAGTTCTCAGCTTGCTGTTCCTTTGCTACCCGTAAGTATTTACAAAAAGACGTTTTATTGAAATATTATTTTTTTTACTTTGTATCTAACAGTTAAAGTCTCTAAACAACAAGATGTCTGATTATTGTCTTGTTGTTTTTGGCTTTGTCTTCTGAAGAAGGCTTGTTGTGGACATCATGKTTACATGTTATCTGTTTACCAGTTTATTTGCTTGCATTTGTTGCTGAAACAGTGAAGTTGAAAATAAAGTTTGTTGTTTGTTTAATTGTGTTTGTTCAGCATTATTTGATTGATGAAATTTAGCTTTGTGCTGTTTGGTGTTTTCTTCTACTCTGTTGACCTGCTGCATTACTGGTTTGATTTATTAAATATTAATCACCAAGTAAAGTTTGTAAGAGAGCTTGAATCATTTATAAGTGTCTCCTGGAAGTTTCAGATGGACCATGTTTGTTTTATTATTTGTTCTTATATTTGCAGACATGTTCAGAATGACCGTCTCCAAATAATCATTTGGCTAATTGTTTATGTTTCTGTATGTTTATATTCAGTAAAATGTAACTGCAGCTGTCGATCCTCACAGGTTTGGGATGTATATCCCGTTCTTCCGGCTGAGCTGCGATTTCCGGCGAGCKGGCTCTCTCTCCCCGATCGCCAGCATCGGCTCCAAAGAGGTGGGCAGCGTGAGCCGGGGCCGGGACTACCTGACCGTGCTGAAGGAGACGTGGAAGCAGCACACCAGCCAGCTGTACGGCGTTCAGGCCATACCTACACACGCCTGCTGCCTGTCCCCGGACCTCATCCGGAAGGAGGTGGAGTACCTGAAGATGGACTTCAACTGGAGGATGAAGGAGGTGCTGGTCAGCTCTATGCTGAGCGCTTACTACGTGGCGTTTGTTCCAGTTTGGTTTGTAAAGGTACGATGCTCTTAATTGCAGTTTTTTTTTTCTTTTTTTTAAATTACGTACTAGATCTTAAAATCTAAATATTTTTTTCCAGAGCACCCAGTACGTAGATAAAAGATGGTCTTGTGAGCTCTTTATATTGGTATCAATCAGTACGTCAGTCATCCTCATGAGACACCTGTTGCCGCCTCGGTACTGTGACCTGCTCCACAAAGCTGCAGCGCACCTTGGCTGCTGGCAGAAAGTAGACCCCTCGCTTTGCTCCAACGTCCTTCAACACATGTACGTACTGTTTGTTTGTTTKTTTTTCTTCACCGAATCACATCAGTTCAGACTAATTTAAATCACAATATGCTGTCTGTTATTGCATAGATGGACTGAAGAGTACATGTGGCCACAGGGGGTTCTGGTAAAACACAATAAGAACGTCTATAAGGCTATGGGCCACTATAATGTGGCCATTCCATCAGATGTGTCACATTATCGCTTCTATGTGAGTATCATCTTTCACTTTACACTAGCATATATACAGTATATACAGCGGGTAAAATAAGTATTGAACACGTCAACATTTTTCTCAGTAAATATATTACTAGAGGTGCTAATGACATGAAATTTTCACCAGATGTCGATAACAACCCAAGTGATCCATACATACAAGTAATAAGTAATAAGTAATA